GCAACACGCAGTTTATGATCTAATCGCTGTCAGTAACCATATAGGATCAACACCTAATGGTCATTACACAACATATGCTCGACAACAAACTTCAACGAATCTATGGTATGAATTCAATGATGATATTGTATCAACTATCTTTTCCGACTCTGAGATCGTCACAAAAAATGCCTACCTTCTTTTCTATATGAAACGAAATTATCAAACCAGGCAAAATTCACAACGCTATCGCGAGTCATCGATTTAATAAAAAGTTTCATTTCAGATCAATACATATATAAGACATAGCATTATTGTGAACTTTATTTTCTTTTTGTTTTTTACAAAATTAATGCATGGCTTCTCGTGTTCTTTCAGTTCCCAAAATTCATACTTCATTTTTTTGTAGTATTTTGATTAGAAGAATGTGGAAATATAGACGTTTACGTATTTCTTCATAGCACTTGACAATCAATGATAACGATAAGAGTTTGTACCTCGTAGAAACGAGGATGTGTCCTATTTCTGAATATCATACATTTAGGCGAAGGAGAAACACGGAAGGAGTTCGGGCTTGAAGTTTTTCAGTCTGCTGTTTTCGCCTCATATGCAGGCTCCAGTTACTGATGGAAAACTGTTGCCTAGCTTATAACTCCAATCCTGTTTCTTCCTTGAAAAATTATAGAAGTATCTTTCAATATTTTGGCTTTGAAGAATCTTGCCAAGGTTTATCCAAGGTTCTGTTTCGAATCCTAATAATTCCAGTTTGCAAGAAGTCTTATATTTAAAAAGAGTTCTTATGATGATTTCTATAAGTTCCTGCTCAAACTTTTCCTTCTCTATTAGGAATGTAGAGTTCTACCAAGATTCACTCACGATTCTATGCGAGATTCGACAAAAATAACAAAAAGGATTATGACAAAATTTTATAAGGTTTTCATTAAGATCTATTCAAGATGTTGGTACCAGGTTTCTGTCAAAAGTTATGGCTACGTTAGACGAGGATCTTACCAAGAATAGAAGAATGTCAGTTAGAATCCTAAAGTGATGGATTTTACCAAAGTGCCAGTTAGGATCGTGTTTCGATTCCGACGCCTTCCTGCTATGATGATCTTTTCCAAAATTATCCGGAATCCTTTTCGAATCCTAACTAGACTATACTAAGCATGATCAAGATCGTAATGAGCACCAGAATTTAGTTAAGATCTTTACAGATTTTTGTTCAAAGTCTGTCCAAAACTTCATCTTCAGGATTCGGTCAAGATCTATTATTGATTCAGTTTAGAAACTTGACAGAAATAGATGAAAAGATTTCATCAAAGTTTTAACTGTTTTTTTTTTTGGTCAAGATCCATCCAAGATTTGCAATTCTCTAGGTCCAAAAATGATTTAAATCCCATTTTTTAAGTAAAATTTCAATAATAGCAATTCCTATTTTAGTCATATCGGTCAATATCAATATCATAAGAAAGAAAATTTTACTAATTATTAGATTTTATAAAAATAAATAAAATATACTATCATTTTATTTCAGATACTCTTTGTTCTCGTTTTAACAAAGAGAATTCGAAAATGAATATCAATTAAAAAGAAAAACAATCTATAATTTAGATAAAAATCTTTATTGTCTATAAACAATCCAAATATAACAATACTTCTATCAAGAGATAAAAGTTTTTAATTTAACTATCTAGACAAAAAAAAGGAAAAAACAAATCTTATGATTGATTTGTTTTAGATTGTTCTTCACTATCAGATAGTTCTTCTTTAATTTCATATGATTTGAGATAAATTGGTCTTGATATATGTTCTATTTCATATTCACTTTTAAATCGAATACGATTATGACTAGGTGGTAAAGAATATGTTGGTAAATTAACCTTTAAAAAATAATCAAATAAATAAGAAAAAGAATAAAAAAAGAACTATATTTTCTATTTGTACCAGTCGTGGATATGGATTTCTATAATGACAAGCTAGTTCAATACGTGCTTCACCTTCACGAATATGTTCTTCGATTTCAGTTGGATCAGTTACCTAAAAATATATCAATTAATTTAAAATAAAAAGAAATACATAAATAACAAACATGTTTATTTTTTCTAAAAAGTTCTCGAGCTTCATTACGAATATATTTTTGTTCTTCATATGTTTTTGATGGATGATCAATTGCTTGCCATGAATGAGATAATTTTATAATACGTTTATAAAGTTGAAGAACACGAAAATAAGTTAAATTCTTGCTCATTAATCTTCAATAATATAAACATTTTTCGAAATACTAATATATAAATATAATCAAAAGAAATTTACTAAGCAATATCGAACGAAATCTCTTACATACATCTCCCGAACATTATCAATGAATCATTGACTTCTACAGGATCGGTCTATCAAAAGAACAAATCTCTATATTTTATTCAATAGACGTCGCTCGGCTTCTACATAAAATTTCATAGATTCAATGATACACTACAGATAAATACTTATTTATATGACAACTGCATAACATACGAAAAACGAAACAGAAAAGCATCCAATATCGAAACCGTTAGAAAAGAAAAAAGTAAAACTTCGGATATAACGGTCATTTAAGTATAACGTAAGTAATTTGAATCATTTTCTCTTGATAGATAGATCGCATAATATTTGATGAATTGAAAATCATACTTATTCTCTTTTATGAAACATGATCTAAAATGATTGTTGAAGTATAGAAGTAGAATTTTGGACCTACACCTACCTCATCGATTATGATAGACGTTGCTGATGTATGATCAAAGACTGTATATCAATTATGTCTTATTATAACATATTAACTATTTGATTATTGTATTTCTGAAGAATGAAGTAAAAGAATGATGAATAAGTGTGTTTGATAAAAAAAAAAAAGAATAAACGAATCTCTTTGTAATTAGCAATAGTAGCTACTTGATGTTTTATATTTTAATTCTGTAAGGATTGCATTAATAGCATTTAGCTTTAATAAAAATAAATAAAGAATTAAGTTTCATTAGCTGTCTCTATTTAATTAAAAGTCTGTTAACATACTACCAAAGTTCTTTCTTTTATATCTATGAGAAAAATATCATAAAAATAAAGCGTAGAGACATGACACTTAATATAGAAAAAAACTTTACCAACAAATTGACTTGAATAGTTCTTCCTATAAGGTAACAAAGGTTTCCATCTGATTTGTTGCTAAATAATTTTCTACAAAATGAATTCATTTTCATAAGAAATAGATAAGCAGATAATAAATTTAATGACAATGATACCGAAGATTATCTTTAAATGAATAATTTAGAAAGTTCTCACTGATGAATAATTAACAAAAGTAAACGTACAACTAAATGAAATATAATTGATTCAATCATTTTATTTGATTAGGTCGATAATTGAATCGTTTTATGCTTTTATCACATATTTGCCAATGAAATGAGACAAGAAAAAAGAGAACCATTCGCACAATAAATTTGTAATGTTTCTACAAATTCGTCAAAAATATCTTGGAAACAACAGTTAATTTTTATTAGCTTTCATTTTAGAAAGCGTTTTTAATGTCTTCATGAAAGTCAAAGTAACCGTCATTTTCCAAGATCTTTTAATGAATACAGAAAAGTCAAATTCATTGTTGTCGAACAAAATATTTTCAACGAGTTCATATAAAAATTACAAAATTTATTGCACGAATGTTTCCCTTTTCTTCCTCGTTTCACTCCATTTATATGGGATAAATATAAATCATATATTATTTGAAAGAGAAAAAAAA